CACCACTGTCCTGTTCATCTGCAAAAAGTACGAGTTGGCAAAACAGGCAAAGGCATTCTCTGGGGAAGCCATGCCTGTCCTTGTCAGAGGGTGCCCTGGTTTAAAATCTGGACAGGCCGGGAAGGGCCTGACCAGAGCCAGAGAACTGGGAGTGGAGGCTGCTCCATTTCCTGGAGATCTTGTAGGGACAGAAGGGACTTCATCTTCAAGATGAAGCTCCTGCCTCCTTCTTTGTCCCTGAAACATCTGGGCCATCGGGTCACCCAGGGTCCATGTCTTCCCATCCATCTCTCTCTCTCTCTCTCTCTTTCTCTCTTTCTGTCTGCCTCCCTGCCTGTCAGGCTGCCTATTAATTAAGCCCAAGTCCTCGGGACCGGGCCGGTAGTGTTGCAGGCCACACACTAGTCTCTAGAGGGGAGGGATTTCGTAGGGCAACAGAGGGAGGGTGGTGTGTCTCTCTGGCCAAGATGGAAAAAGAGACACTCCTGCCCCTCCCTCAGGCAAGGCAGGCGTGAGTGTGGAGGGACAGCGGGGCTCCCAGAGCTGCGCCTGGATAGGACGGGGGGGGGGGGGGCGCGACCCTCAGGCCGTCTCCTCCCCACGCCCCCCAACCCCAGACCATCTCTCATTCTCCTCAGCACTTTCTGTCATGTGCGTTGCCCTCCTTATGCTCAGAGGAGTCGCTGACAGTGACAGAACGGAGATTACAAGCGATATTTTGCCTGGAAGCTTTCTCCAGGCTGTTGGGAACTAGGTAGTTGTCACTTCTAGGAAAGGAGAAATCTGTATATTGTAGCCCTGAAGCGGTGCCCTGAGTGGGGGCATGCGGCTGTCACCTCAGACTGTCCCTCCTCCCTCAGATGTGTCCTTAGTAGTGCCTGCGCAGGGGCAGGGTTGGCTTCTCGTCTCTAATGTGGTTCCTGTCTGAGGGGCTCCGGACCCTCAGTGCCCCCTTAGGGGTGGCAGCTAGAGGTGGGGCTAGAGCTAGAGCAGAAAGACAGACAGACATGGAAAAGCCTGTGGCTGCACCAGGACATGGAGAAGGAGCTCCGGCTCCTCAGTCAGAAAGGACACAATTAGCGGCGCCTGGGGGGCTCAGTGGTTAAGCGTCTGCCTTCGGCTCAGGTCATGATCCCAGGGTCCTGGGATCCAGCCCCGCATTGGGCTCCCGGCTCAGCGGGAAGCCTGCTTCTCCCTCTGCTTGCTGCTTCCCCTGCTTGTGTTCCCTCTCTCTCTCTCTGACAAATAAATAAAACCTTTAAAAAAAAAAAAAGGACACAATTAGAGGCTGAAGGAGCCAGCAGGCAGGGCAGGGCGTCCATGCCTCCACGCCCCAACCCAGACCCTCTCTCTCCCCCACCCCTACACTGTGGACTTGGGCAGAGGAGGGGGTAGCGAGGCCGACAGCCAGAAACAGCAGTAGCCACACATTGGAGGGTACAGTTATTTCCTTATTATCTAGACTGTGAGCACCTCGAAGCCAGGGAGAGCGTGTGTGTGTGTGTGTGTGTGTGTGTGTGTGTGTGTGTGTGTGTGATCTTTGTATGCCCAGACCTCAGTACATGGTAGGTTCATAATACATGGAGGCTAAATTAAAGCAATGTGCTCCTGCCCAGAGGGGTGGAAGAGGGGAGGAAGGAAGAGTAAAAAGCTCCCCAAGAACAGAGCTTCCATCTGCCAACTCGGCCCCAGACACCTGGGAAATGAGGCAGGGGAGGCTGACAACAGCAGAGCTCCCAAGAACGGCCCACCCCACAACTCAGGGCATATCCACCCCTGCTTTCTTCTGGGAGCCCAGCATTTACTCAGCACTTAACTACTGCAGGCACTCCCTTTGGATGGGTAAGAACTACAAGAACAAAGACAAGGGAGGAGGTTGGAATAGCAAAATGTCAATGTCTGGAGTCAGAAGACATGCCACTTGCTGGCTGGTGTTTGAGGCGAGCCCAGTACCTGACCTTCCTAAGCCTCCTTATCCACATCTGTAAAATGGGAACAACCACCTGGCAAAGAAAAAGGCATCTCTCATACATTGCAGATAGGATGTAAATTGGTGTGACCTTCCTATAAGTAATTCGTAAAAATTTTTTAAAAGTGAACATATCTTTGGATTTGGCAGCTCCACATCTAGAAGCTTATTCTAAGACAATGATCAAGTCTGGAGCAAAATTCAGCTATAAGAATGGGCATTATTTATAATAGTAAAAACTGGAAATAATCTAGACAACAAATGATGGAAATTTGGCTGAATAATTATAGTACATCCATAAATGGAATGTCATTTAACCACTAGGATTATAATGTATATTTTCCTTATATGCAAAGGTGTTTATATGTTACAGATATAAAAAGCTGACTACAGAACAGTCTATATAGTATGATACTGTTTTTAAGAAAGGTTTTATTCTACATATTAACTGTGGTTATCTTCGTATTGTGGGATTACAACTAACTTAAATTTTCTCCCTCTTACTTATCTATTTTGTACTAATCATATATTGTTTTGTAGTGATAATGAAAATTAAGTTGTATTAAAATAATGACCTTTATAGGTTGCTTTAAGAGTTAAAGAAGATATTACATGTGAAAGTCCTTTGTAAACTGAAAAATTACAAGCATAAGACAGGGTCTCTGCCCATGAGGAGCTTACAGTTTGGAAAGAGATGAAAAATACATAAGATAACTATAGCATGAAACAGAATGTGGCAAGAGCTTCCAGGGAATGATAAACAGCATGTTACTTGGAAACACAGAGGAGGTAAAATTACTTGTGGTTCTAGAGGAAAGAGTCAGAATGTTTGAGTTGAATACTGAAGAATTGCTAAGGTCCTATCAGGTAGAGATATAGAACTCGGGCCGCAGGAGAAGCGGGAAGCTGCAGGACAGATTTGGAGAATGGGAAATGCTTGCGTTTGGATGGAGGGCAGAGAGCCTGCAGGTAATGGAGAGAGAGTCCAGCAGGGCAGTTTGGAGCCAGACTGCAGACACCTTGAAGGCTGCACTTGGTAAAATGCCATCAGTGAACCCTTGTTGGTGTCTTCGATGAGTAGGGAGTCACTGAAAGTTCTGGGGAAGGAGCTGACACCGTGGCAAACCCCTCAGGAGTAGTGGGGTCCTGCCTCATATGGGGCCCGGGATGGATGCAGAGTGAGGGCATCTGCCTGGGAAGCTCAGTCTGGAGGCAGCTGACAAGCTGGAGGGGCAAACTGTGGGGATGACGAGGGGCCTGGCAGGCATGGCCAGGGACAGGGCCCGTCCTTGGTTGTGTCACTGGACATGGAAAGGAGGGAAGACCATCTTCTGCCCCGATGGGAAAGGGATGGGAAGTGGTGGCAGAGTGAAATGAGGTGGGGCTCAGGGAAGGAAGACTAGGACATGTCTTCTGGGTTTGCTGCCTTGGGGGGTGGGGGGCCAGAGAACTGGGAGACATTCACAGAATTCACCCCTGGCCCCAGGGAGGAGAAACAGGCTTGGGGTGTGGGGAGTGAGACAAGAGTAATCTGGTGCTCAGGACACATCCTCCCTTAGTTGGTCCTGATCCCTTGGGCCTCTCTGTGTGGCTGTCCCAGGGCTGGCACTGGCCAGGGGGCCCTGACCCTCCTGCTGCTTTGAATGTGTCTCTATTCCTCAGCTCCTCTTGGGAGGAGTCTGGGTTGTGGACGGAGGGTTTGTGTCAACCCAGTAAGCTTTTTTTAATGGAAATTCATTAACAAACCTCCCTATCTTGGAAGCTTCTCTCAGCTCATCCCGTCCTCCTGGCATGCCCCAGCTTACTCTTTCCTGCAGGCGAGAATTCGTACCCCCTCAGGATCCGGATGCTTAGTCTCTGCCACCCTCACCCCCAGTGGTGCCTGTGTTGGTGTGCGCATGCATGCACGCGCGCGCGCGCACACACACACACACACACACACACTGGAAGGAAGGCAGGAAAGTCTTGTTCAGGCAAATGTCTAAATTTCCATTTCCCCACTGCAGCTCCCAGCCCAGGCCACTGTTTAGCTCCTCCTGTTGTCATGTCACTAGTTAATTACATTCTTTACTGAGGTGCAAATGTGTTTTTACAAGGAGACTAAGATGGTGTTAACTAGGAAGGAACTGTGAATGTTAAAGATGCATTTACCTCGGCTTGTAAGGCTGGAACTCTTGGCTGGAAGTGCTCCCCGAAGCTGCCCTGAAAATGCAGCCCAGGCATCAAGCCGCCCTCCTCCCCCTCCCTCCTGTGACCCTGCCATCCTAGCCCCAAATGCGGCCTCCTTGGGGTCAAATTAGCAACTTGATCCATAAGGAGAAAAGTAATGTGAGTGTCTGGGAAGTGTCAGGCCAGGCCTTAGAACACAGTGCAGACCACCGACCTCCATTTCTGAACGTCTTGGTTCATTTCAAATATTGAGAACCAAAAGAATTCCCTTCGATCTAAAAATAAATCAGTAAGTAGTCCAGCCAAAGCCGACTTTAGGTCAAGGCTGTCCTTCACTACCAGTCTCTGCTTGGGGTCCAGTGCCCTCCTGACTCTTCCTCCCTGCTGCCCACAGACCCCCTTTCCCCCACCCATTAACGTCTCCCCAGACCCCCAGCCAAAGCCTGCCCTTGGAAAAGGATCTGAGACTCAGCCGCACAGCTGAGCAGGTGTGACTGCTCTCCTTCCTTTGAGTTTCCTACAGTTTAAAACAAGAAGCCCTGCCCTACCCAGGGCCCAGAATCCGTCAGAGACCTGTCCACACTTTGGGGGAGAGAGGGCCACGTATACAACTGATACCAGGAAACCAGACAGGTGACCACAGGGCACTTGCAACTGTGTGACGAGGATTTGGGCTCTCAAATGGCTCAGTGGGCCTGAGCAGCCACACCGAGGAGAGAGATTGACATCGTAAATATGGCGGGGGGGGGGTCCCTAGAGCAGATGGCATATATCCCTCAGAGCCAGAGCAGGTGCCCCCTTGTTCTCTGATCACCAGGGCCTCTAATCCCTTCTGAGAGCTGCTCTGCCCTTTTTTCTACAGGTGCTTTGGCGCTAGCTGACAGGAAGAATTTCTGGCCCAGCTGGGAGTGAGAAGAGGGAGTGAGTCTCCTGAGGGCCATCCTCGAGTCCGCCAGGATCACCCGAACAGTAAGAGATGCTTCTCCATCCTTAAACACAGAGTGAAACCCTCCAGGCAGATGATCTTTTCTTCTGAAAACCTCGAGAAGCAGCCATCACATTAGCTGGCACTTAGCGTATACAAGCTGGAAACCCCCAGTACTGTATTATTTTTCTCATGTCCTTCCTCCTCAGCTCCTTGAGGACAGGGCCAGAGCTGTGCCTCACCCCTGCGCCCCTCTTTTCTTCTCCGTAGTCTGGGAACAATAAAGTGTTATTGATGCCAATGCCGATGGATGGGCTGTTGCTTACATCCACGATGATGATAACCTTTGTATAACCTTCTGGAACAAGCATTATCACCTAAGACTCGCCTGGGGGATCTTTGTTAAGAGACACTACCTGGGCCTCACACCAGAGAGTCTGAGTTTCTAAGCCGAGGTTAAGACCGGGAATCTGCACCCCGAGTGTTTTTGATGAACACAGAAGAAACTGCATCCCAGGTGTTTCTGATGAACTCTGAGAAATAGTTCTTTAGAATGTGTAAGGCATTTTGAATGGAGAATCTGCTTTAATCCTCTTATCAGATAGGGATTTTTAAATCCCCTTAAGTAACTTCATGATCTCAAAGACATTAAGTATCAGTATAGGCAGGGATTTGGAAATCCAGTTACCCAAAACAACCCTTCTTTCTTTCCACTATGCCATGATAAGGGCCAGATCTGTTATGGTGAGATTGGGCCCCAACCCCAAAGGACGCTGCCCAGGACTTTTGTAAGTTTCCCTGCTGTCTCAGGCCTGCCGTGACCTTGCAGGTCATCAGCCTTCATTTTGGGGGCACTCATCATTTCCCAATTCCTCACAAATGCTGGTTTCCCTGGAGAGAGGGAGAGGGGACAGTGAACCAGAAAGGCGAACGTTCCTGGGGCCAGCTCCCCAAGTTAGCAAGGCCACAGATGTTCCAGAGGAGCATACCAGCAGAACTGGCCCCCAATACTTGTCCTGGTTCCTATGCCTTCTGGCCATTTGGGGAGCTCTGTGTTTTAGGTATATGAAGGGGATGGGGAGCATGCTGAAGCATGCTGTGGCTCCTAGAGGTAAAAGCCAGAGGAAAAGAGAAAAAGGCACACGTAGGGAGCTCAAGGCTTCACCCTAAGTGTGAGTTCGGCGATGCCCATTTCAGGGACAGGCTGACAATCTCTTCAACACCCTTCGGAGCCTGTGTGCACAGCAATGTGAAAGGGAGATCTCTGCAGACCATAGTTGTGGTGAGGGTTTAAAGAAGATGGGGAGATGGTTAAAAAAAAAAAAGGAGAGAGAGAGAAAAAGAGAAAAAAAGGGACAGGGTTAGAGACTCCCGGTGAACCAGGGCAGACAGGTGTTGTCGCCAAGTCCAGTGGCTTTCTCAGGGCCTGGCAATCGCACTGAGCTGCTTCTTGCTGAACTACTCGGTAGAGTCCTATTTCTCTCCACGCCAAGGCTGCAGATGCTCGAGTCCAAACAGGCCAGACCATGCCTATTTATTCTAGACATGCTAGAATAAAGGGAAGGATGGAAACGGGTTGAGGGACTGCTAACGCCTGCCAAGGCTGTGTCTTTCCATAGGAGGGAAAGTTTCCATGGATGACATAGAGGCGACCTCACATGGCCCCCTGACCTCCCCCTCCCCCTCCCTCCACCCCACCCCCCCACGGCCCACCGGACTCTCTTGCTGAGTGCCAGTCTGGTCCATTCCAGGCACTAAACACAGCTGACCCCGTTGCTGGGATCGGTGCAGTCGGCAAGGACAATTTTTGCAGCTAACGCTGGAAGTGTGGCAATCAGAGGAACCACCAGCTGTCTCGCTTAAATTCTTAGCTCTCTCGCTCTCTTTTTTTAAAATCGTTTTGCTTACATAATCCACCCCCTTTTTATTTTCTAATTCTCTCCTTGCAAAGCTGGCACCAGAGGGGAAGGGCTGGGGCGGAGGGGTAGCAATTACACATCAGTTTGGGGAGCATTTACATTTTGCAATTACAATTTTAAAAATAAGCCTCGTTAATGATCTCCACGTGTCAACGACAAACCCTAACTGACATACTCTCCTGGGCTTGCCTGCCTCCCCCTGCAGTCAGAGGCTCGGTGGAGGCAGAGGTACCTAGGGAGGCACAGGGGGAGGCTGGGGGGGGCAGCATCGGAGGGGCCCGCAAGAGCCATCAGCGTGCCCTTGAGGTTGGTGGAGGACAGGTGTGCGGCTGAGCGCCTCGAAACCTAGAATTCGGGACTCCAGCTTCCCTCCTCTTCCCTGCACTCGTACCCTCCGAGGTGGTAATTTTCAGAGCCCTGTTGGGGAAGCGTAAATCCTAGTCCCCAGGAGCCAGCCGGTGTACCTGGATACTCATGGACTGGGTAGAGGGACTGATCACACCGGCGGGGCTCAGGAAGGGAGCAGGATTAGTTGTATCGCAGTTTGGGAAGGACGTTTCTCCTCTTATAATTGGCTAAGCTATATTTCATGAAGCCCTCTGATCTCTTGGGCCAGCACTTTGGAACCAGACACACCCAGATTCAAATTCTAGCTCTGCTATTCATTGGCTATAAGATTTGGGGCAAGTTACGTAACTTAAGTTTTCTGACTAGCATTGTCTTTATGCTACTGGGATAATGGTATTTACCTTAGAAGGCTTCTTTGAGGATTAAATGAGATAATGTACGAGAAAGCACCTCATCCAGCAGCTGGCCCTCGATAAATGCCCTGTGAATGTCAGCTCCTCACCACGCCCCTCCCCAGGAGCCCCAACATGCTTCCTCCTGCCCGCATCAGAGCTGTCTTTCCAGCTACGGGGGACACTAAGGAAGGGCGATCTGGTCTGATTCTGCCAGGTCTCCCCTCCAAGTCAAGCCATCTGCACCCTGAGCAGCTCCTGAAGGGGACCTCCCACCCCCTCCCACACACCCCTGCCATCTCCCTATAGGATTCTCGGCAGAACCTTGGCCTCAGGCTTCCGTTCCAGCTTTCCACCTGTCGTGGGCTGGCTGGCTCCCGACTCTGACTTTCAACAGCCCACTTCTCTTTTCTGGACACAACTTCAATGGAGTGACCTTTTATCAGGCCCCACCTATGTCCTTTATCTGTAAAATGAAGGAGGTGGGCCAGGCGCTCTCCGAGGTGCCTTTCAGGCTTGACATCTGTAAGGCTCAGATGCTCCTTCCCTAGAAGCTTCCTCTCAGCCCCTTATCTGCATGGAAGGCTTTCATCTCAAGCAGCTTCATCCAGGCCAGTCTTGGGACTGACCACGTATCGTCAAAAACTGACATTTGTTACTTGAAACATACCTAAAATAGCTCTTCCCTGTGGCAAAACCAGAGAGGCATCTTATAAAAATCTGAGACAAGGAAGACTTCCAAAAGCAGGCCCCTTGGCATAGGGCGGAGAACACAGAAAGGGACTATATCCTACCGGTTCGGGTGCTTAGGCGAACCACAGTTAAATATTATGTTTTAGTTATTGTTCTAAAAAGTTGCTTTTTTAACCTAGCCTATGTAATGGGCAGCTTTCCAGGTCAAAATAGATTGACTCCATTGTTTTTAACCGATGCATAGCATTCTCTTCTGTGGACATTTCATTATTTATTTTAGGTATTTTTAAAATTAGAAGTAAAGTATGTACGTGAGGGAAAAACAGTGTAAGAGATATAAAATAGAATAAAAAGAGTCCCTTCTTTCCCCTACCTCTACCCACAAGGTCCAAATGACCCAAAGTCAATGACAATGAGCAATCTCTGATTTTAGTTATTTGGTGGCTGGTGTTTACTATGTTATATAATATACTTAAATCCGTCTTTCTTAATTTCTGTATTTATCTATGCACTCCTTGCTATGAGAGCAGGAAAATTAGCACACATTCTCCCCTTCCAATTTGGATTAGTTTGATAATTTTTATTAAACCATATTTGACACTATGTTTATTATATAGTATTCAATAGAATATAGTGTGTTTATATATTACATGGTATATACTGTATAGCACATAGTATTATATATAATGAACTCTACGTGATATATATTTAGTATAATAGTAGCTTTACAGATTTAGAAGATCTACAGTCTATCACTGTAGTTCCCTTTGCATTCCAACTATAGGTTGATCGTAAGATAGAAATATTATCCAACCACAGAACTAAATAGTGTGATTTGACCAAGGGAAAGGAAACGGAACCGTCTGTCATTACAACTTGGCCGCTGCAGGAGAATCTTCTGAGAGCCCCCACATGTACTGCTTGCCCCTCTTCCCTGCCCCTCAGCTCGCTCCCTCCCTGCTGTCTCCCGCTGGGCCGCCGCCATGTCTTGCATGGACGCTGTCCCCTTCCTCTGATTCCTCTGTTTTACTGGAATACCACCTCTAATTATTTCTGATACGGATGAGTGGGAAATAAATTCTCGGTTCTTACGTGTCCAAAACAGACTTTACTTTGCCTTGAAACTTGATTGATCTTCCGATGGAGCTCAGAATCCCATGTTCAAAGCTGTTTCTCTTAGGTTTCGAAGACGTTATTCTACCGTCTTCCTATTTCCGATCTTGCAATGAGAATTTATGAAAACTTTCAGTTTGCTTTGCTTTTGCAAGTTCGAAACATCACCACTGTGTGCTGAGGCTTGAGATTTTGTTTGCTCCTTTCTTTTTTTCATTACATGTGCTCAAGTCCTGGGACCATTTTTGATCTGAAGTCACCTGTCTTGCTTCAGCACAGGGAAATTGTCATTTCATTATTTCTTTGTTTATCCCGCTCACTTGGCTCTGTTTCCTCCTGGAAACTCCACTGTCCAGCACAGAGCCTGGTGAATAGTAGGTGCTCCGTTAGTGCTTGCCAAATTTGTTGCTTGGGACCTTGATTCTACCTAGGTCCCTATTTTCAACTCGCCACGTGGACTTGGACAAGTTTTCTCGTTTGAACAGAGAGGTCAGGCCTCATGACTGCTCGGGATGCTTCCACTCTGCCTGTCCTCTGGCAAACTGCCCTGGAGCCTTGAGTCCCTGCTGCTCCTGGGAT